AAAGTTTATATATATGAAATTCACCCCGTTGGATGTTACACTCGAGCACCAGCATCTCAGACTAAAACAATAAGGACAGAAATAAAATAAAACTCATCAGTACTTTATCATTTGTTCACCAACATAGAAGATAAAACCGGCTGTGGAAACAAACCACAGAGAGACATTGAACCCTGATTTCCTGAGTTTTCTGTTTTCTGTCCCCCGCAGGGACCGGCCCAGCGCTGCAGAGTGTATGAGCCACCCCTGGCTGTGGCAGCAGTTCTGTCTGAGCCCGGACCCCGCCGCCACCCGCACCCCCCGCGAAAGGAGCTGCGGCACCAAGTGGACCGCCCCGCCCGAAGACCCCGAAGACAAGGAGAACTTCCTGGACTCGCCCCACTCGCACGCAAAAAGGTTTCGCTTCGACGAGGAGCGGCCCGCTGCTGGAGACGGCGACTTTTGAAAAAGTCCGATTTAAAAAAGAAAAAGGGGGGAGGAATTGAAGTGTGAGGCAGGAGTGCCCGCTCCTTCCTCGGAGCTTTTAAATTCTTTTAAGCCTCCAGAAAAACCAGCCGCCCAAAAGTGCTTTGGTTGTGTTTATATTCCACTAATTAGATCGACCACTCAAACCAAAGATAACCAGCTAAATTTTGAAATCTTACCACTGATCCGTCGCCTTTAAAGAGTGTGAGGGTTGTACAGAATGTCTCAGTTAATGCGGTGTGTTTAACCTAAAGTATTTAATACGTGTGTTAAAACCTCTGGTGTTCTCAGAGGGCTGCATGCCGCTCTGCTGTACTGACGAAGGTTAGTGCGGAGTATTTCTATGCAACACTTCTCTCACGCATTTTAACCCCATTTCCTCCAGAAACCTTAAAGAAGTTCATCTCTCTGCCTTAAAGTCGGAAGCGAAGTGTTCTTCGTCACCAGCTGTTTCCATTTCACTGCAGTAATGTGTGATACAGAGAGAAACACCTCTGCAATGAGGAAGTGTGATAACGTCCGTATTTGCATGCAAAAGCTGAACAGCAGCTTTATGGGAAACCGGGCTTTAGACTCTTTAGACTTTGGGTTCTGTGTTTCTGTTTTTAACTGAGAGTTGATAAAACACGCTGCTGTCTGTGTCACCGCTCGAGCTCTTGCTACACGCAGGACTGCTGTATTTGATGCCCCGAGCTGCACTTTGACTTTAAAAAACGAGCAGCAGAAGAGCAGAATTACACACGGGCGTATTACATTCCTCGTGAGTCTAACGTCTGCAATACATTTAGCTCAGGGTCTTAGATGAAACTCCTTTAGTCCCCATTTAGCGTCAGTGTTTGTATTCGTCAGCGAGCAACAAGATAGAAACTGTAGCGGCTCAGAGAAGGTGTGACTCATGTGGCTCACACACCACACCCGCACTTACTCAAAGGATTTCCTCACCGGGCTGCCAGTTCCTCTTTGTTGGAGAGAAACACGACTTTAGCACTTACTTCACAAAGCACACGCACCGAACCGATAAGCAGAACTATTTATTGTGTAGTTTGAGCGGTTCGCTGTCTTTCGGCCCCTCACCAAAGCCATCCAGTAAACGCTGTTCCTCTTGGGTCAGGGTGCCTGAAGTGATCTATTCCTGTTGTCTTCATCTCAGGGCATGCTGCTCACTCTCTGCTCACTCTGTTGTGTATTCTTAATGTTATTCTTATAGGCCTATTATTATTATTTATGTGCTGGACTTATACTTTATATTTTTATGTAAATAATGTGCTCGCGTGTCTTATGAGGAAGTGCGATTATGCTGGGAGATTTAGGATGATTAAGGTGTTATTTAAAAGTCGTGGTTACTGTGTAATGAGTAATAGGTGGAAATGTTGGGCTGCAGCGGATTGGGGAGGCGAGGATTAGAGTTGAGGTGGTACTGGGAAGTAAAGCAAACGTGGACAAGGAGATGAGTCAGGTGGTTTTAGGGAGGAGGAAGACGATTAAATGCTTTGATGGATTTGGAAACGGAGTTTAAAGGAACCGGTTGATGTTCTCCTTTAAAGCTCAGATGTTGAGTGTTCAGATATGTAGGTGTGAAAGGCTCTTTAGGTGCAGAGAAAGTGGGGATGACGATGATTTCCGTGTAGTTTTAGAAAGAGAGAGTTTGTCCCAAGACGCTGACAGAACCGCTGTATAATGTGAAACACGAGGTGCTATCGATTCACAGGATTTGCCATCTTTTGTTCGAGCGAGAGACTCGAACGAAAACACCTCACCTCTCCTAGAAGTGCGGATTCTGATCGCCCGTCACCTCCAGTGAAACATTCCTCTTTTTGTTCTGAGGTGCCAAACGGAAAAAGACCACATTGTGTTTATGTTTGTTGTTGTCACCGGCTGGTACAATGGCCTTTGTGTCGGAGCTGGGCGTCCCCAGCCACGGCCATGCTCTCATCTGTATGCTGTCATCCTTTAAAACTGGAGCAACACACTGTAAAAAGGTTTTCATCTCAGATTAATCTCAGAGAGTTGGCAGATTCTACTTGAGCTCGCTGTAAGAACTTTTCTCCAAACTTGAATAAGCTTGAATCTTACTTCATCTCAAGTCTACTCTGCTTTTTCCTCAGCCCCTCCAGGATTTCACAGGCTTCATGGCAGCTCTTCTAAAACATTGTGATGCATGTTGTGATATTTTTAAGCCATTTTGTTTCAATGAAACTGCAAAAGAAAGTGAAAACTTAGTTAAATAGTTGCTGTTTGTTTCTATGATTCATTTAAAATCGAAGGCGACTCATTCCAGTGAGAATTAAACCACCAGTAGTTTGAGCTGCTGTGTTTGAAACTCACAGGAAACTAGTGATTGGACTAAATTGCAGGGCTGTGCAGAATTGCGTTAATTGTTGCGGTCTCGGCGTTGAAACTTCCTGGAGGGACTGTTTCCTAATACCTCTCCGACCAGGTTGACCGCGTCTCGAAAATAATCTTGATTCAGGCTGAAATGACTCAACTCGACACGGGACGTTTCTCAAGCTCAGCTGTACGGACTCGACGAGTTGCTCAACCTCGAGAGAAGACGGACTTGTTTTGCGTTGATGTCAGAGATCTCACTTCGCAGGATGACGGAGCGGCTCGTGTTTGCTGGCATTGTCTGTCACTTGAACATGACTTGTGCTGTGGTGTTGATTTTGTTATTTTGTACAGCTATTGTACTGTTATTTTCAGCAGCTCGTCACCCGGTGGCCTCTCTCTCTCTGTGTCTCTCTCTCTGTGTCTCTCTCTCTCTCTGTGTGTACACTCATTGTCTGAGCGGGAGGTATTTATCTGGCAGTGGAGGCCGTCGTCCTCGAGAAGTGGAGCACCAGTAACGTCAGGCGACTGATGTCACCCAACATTCCTGTTTGTTGTGTGAGACTGTAGAGACGTTAGAGACAAACCAGCCACGAGCACAAGCAAATAAATGTGCAAGAAATGTGTGTTTATTTTGCATTTTATATTTTTTTAATGTATGAGCATTCTGATTGCGTCTGAAATGACTAAAAAAAAAAAAAAGACATAATCCCTTATTGTATTCTGATCAACTGCAGGCTAATATGTAAAAGCATCACAAAGCAAACTGAAAAAAGCTCATTAAAGGTTGTAGAAAATATCCAGTGGAGTATGTGTTGTCTTCTTTTTGTTGTCTTTGAGTCGCTTCACTTGTTCTACACTGCTGCCCCCTGCTGACTGACGAGAAACAAACTCCTCTATCAAACTACTCAAACATTTCTCTGTTGCAGCCTCTCCCTCGCTCTAACCACTGACAGGACAACCTACACCAAACAGCAAGCAGATGATTTAAAATAATGTGTGTTAACTTGGCTGTGCACTTGCTAAACAACTTTTTTTTTAAAAGTTAATCTCCTCCGTCCTCCTCCTCGCACACTCACAGCACGACGTACAGCGAGTAGTAAACACAATGGAATGATCTGAAGTTACATTCAGCTAAACGAGTTACAGCCATCAGCGTAGTGCAAAGACGCGACGTAAGCTCACACAGACGTCACACAGACATTAATACATCATACAGACGTTAATACACATGCTGCCACATTCCCATTAAACTAGTGTGTGTTTTTACATATTGCAGTTAAAGTACAGTAGACACAAAGCGGTTCTTAACTTCTAACCACAGAAATAACAAGCGCCGCCTCGTTAACACGTCTTTCTAAATTACTTCTTTTAAACAAAGAACTCCTCGTTTAACATCATTACAGTCGGTTTAGTTAGAACATTTCATTTTTAAAAAGGTAATTTGGTATATTTTTAAAACATAAATGTGAAAAAAGCAATTTAACACAATCAGTTCATGTTTTTTTTTTAAAAAGGGATAAGTAATAAGGAAGGTAATGACTTCAACAGTTAATTCTTACACTAAAGTCTCACCTCAACGTCCACATGAAGCAGCTCCACTATCGACAGATGAGGTGAGACTGTTGTCACTTTCTGCTGTGTTAACTGAAACAAACAGATCGGGAACATTTGGGTGGAAAATCCCGAGTTGGGATCAAACTGAAGGAATGACAACAGAAACCATTTTTTTTAACTTTCTGACCAAGTAATCATTAATTAAATCGGCCACACGAGTACAATCGAGACTCACTACTGAGAGTCAAACAGACAGTCAGACATTCACGTGTCTTAACAGGAGCTGGTAGTAAAAGTGCAGCTATAAGGAGAATGTAATACGCCGTTCCTGCTTCAGCCAAACATACATTGAGTTTAAAATCATGGCAGAAATTAAAATAAATCAAAGCTATACTTTATCTTTCACACCTTTAAGGGACAGTTCGGCCCCGTCTGCCGTCTCCCCTCTGGGTTCGTCTTCTCAAAGCGCTTTTTTTAGTCAGGGATAATAAAACAATTGTGTTAACGCTGAAAACCTGAAATGGACAAAGAATCGGGCCGATAAGCGGAATGGATAACGGTTTTGGTTTCAGGTTGACGGCTGATATCTCCAAAGCTCTGCAACTCGCACCGACACAACCTCGATGGGTAAACAGCTCGACAGGTAAGAGGAGAAATACGTGTTTTTGATTTTGGGGTGAACCGTCCCTTTAAATTAGAGAAACGTCCTCATTCGCGAACTGAAACAACATCTAAATCAACGGCTCCGCAGGAAGTTTGAGCCAGAATCAAATGTAAAAGATCACATTTAGCCTGAAGAAGAAAAGACCATTTTCATACCTGCGTATTCCCGCTCGGAGCCCCAGGATCATTCAGACTGGGATCAAGTGCATTTAGCGGTAAAAAGGTGACCAGCATCTGTCACATGCTCTAAATTCTGAGCCCTTAAATCAGAAAAATGAGGTAAAACCAGCGAATAAGACATTCAATCAGCATTCTTAATAAATTAAAGCGCTCAGTGACGTTGGGAGTATCAGCTCAGGCTGCGTGTGTGGTGTCGACAACCTCAGAACTCCTGGATGACCCTGAAGTGGTTCTCGATGGAGGGGGGCTCGTCCTCGAAGTGCAGCTTCTTACTTGGACAGGCCCCGAACTCCTCCAGGGTCTTAATGAAGTGTCCGTACTCGCGGCCCACCCAGGCCCGCATCGGGTCGCACACCTCGTACGGGGTCACGTGGGCGTGAATCGACACCCCGCTGGAAGCAAGTCCCTTCAGCACCTGCTTGTCCGTCACCCAGGTCTCGCTGCCTCCCGGGTGCCCGCCGTCCAGCCAGTACAAGTCCGAGATGCATCTGACGAAGTGAGACAGCTGCGGGTCTGCGCGGGCCCCGGCCAGCTCGTACGCCATCTGGTTCAGGACCACGCAGCCTTTGCTGAAGCCCACCAGCGTGAGTGAAAACCCCGAGGGGATGCCGTCAGCGCCTCCTTGTGTCTGCAGAGGGTTCGGCAGGTTGGCTCGCTCCATGCCGTGGCTCAGCAGCGCCCTGCGATCACAGATGTTCAGACTGTAACACTGACAGCACCGTCGCCATGCAGTGAGGACTCGATTGGTAAAGCTCGTAATGTGGAGGTGATGATTGTAATTTAGGCAGATGGTAGTTGAGTCTATTTGTGAGCTCTGTTCCCTATTGGCAGTGCAGCTTTCCTGTGTTTGGCGTAAACCAGGGGCCAGCAACCTTTTTTAGAAATAACTTGACATATTAAGTTAAAAGCTTAAGTCAGAGTTGCATTTAAAGCTGGTTTCTGCTGCCCCCAAGTGGCCAAACACAGCTTTGTAATTCAGTTACTATATTTTGTCTCATCGGATCAAAGAAAGCCCCATAACACGTCACATTGAGACACAAATCTGACTAATTTTTTGGAATATACATTTCCTGAAGGAGCAAGAAAAAGGGGACAGGATGTTCTTTCTTATATTCTAGGAGTCCGTATTCACTCTGCGGGCGAATAAAGTGCACTTACATAATAATATGTGACCTTAAACAGCAAAAACAAACCTGAGGTGGTGAAACGCTCCGTAGTCAGGTGAGTACGGCGAGTGCTCTGGAGCCCCGAACATGTTGCTCTCCACGAAGTTGAGGTAGCAGCTGAACTTGTGGAGATACATCCGGGAGGCTCGGACCACCCACACGTGGTGGTCGGGGAAACGGCGGCCCAGCGTGAGGGCGACCTGCTCCAGGCTCCAGGAGAGCCACTGGGAGCCCTCGGGCTGCACGGCCATCTCCTCCTGGAAGTTCTGCACACACAGATTCACATTTACTTCATCGTCACACACACACACACACACTTGCAGTAAAAATTAAAATCTTAGTGTCAAAGTTTCAGAATAAAGTGGTTGAGTGTAACTAAATACATTTTCAGAAGTGCTGAAGTACAAGTTTGAGGCATTCTGTGTTCTTTATACTAGACTTTTAAAAGAAATTGCTGTATATATATCAGTATATTGAATTGTAACCCCTGTATCGTGATACGTATCGTGTCACCAGATTATTGCCAATACACAACCCTACTGAGCGAGACTTTCAGTGCATTTTGAACTGAATTTATTTAATAGACAATCACATAAAAAACAGATGCCAAAGTGCCGAATATTGGATCTGATTATCTGATCAAAAGTTGGATATAAAAGTGCAACGTGACCAGCTAACAGAGAACAACGTTTACACACTGGAACAACATGAAAAACATGACATACACTCTTTATCACTCACATCTGTCTGTGTTGAGGATTGTATAAAGTCCCACAGTTTGCCTACAATGAGCTTTTTGGTCAGTGTGGTCATGATGTGTTGGTGCTGCAGCTCTGTAGGAGAGGGGCTTCTGGTTCTTTAAATGTTCAGAATTTAAAAGGATAACAGCTAAAACAAAAACTCGAAGATGTTTCCCTGACAGACGTTCGATCTGTGAGCCGAACACAAAACGTTCCCTTCCGTATATCCGGTCCTGGTAACAGCCACGGTGGGAGTCGACCCATAAACCTCACAGACATCAGTCGGTCTTCAGTTCCACCAGCAGCGTCTCCTCAGCGTGCTGTTGGACTGTGTGGTCCCCGACACAACCACCTCGTTCATGTTATTTACACTGTACGTCACCGTGACAGCACTGTGGGAATATTAACACTTGTCTGGAACGTCGCCTAATGAATTGCAAATGAGGAAGAATGAATGAATGAATGAATGAATGAATGAATGCACGGCTCGGGCCACAGAGACGCTCCAATGAACAGAAAGGGAAACAAATGGGTGATGTTTAATCTTCTTTTACTCCTCCATATTTTTTACTCTCATTACTAAATGCCTCTTCCACTTACCGAAAGAAAGAAACAAAAAGCTTTGCATAATCTGCCGACTGCAGCACTTAAAGAGGTTTGGCTCCGGCTGAAGAGACACATACACATTTACATGCTCTGCCCTTTAAAACACCTTAAACGGCTCTCAGGAGCTCACCGAAGACGACGATTTAAGGACAAAATCTGGACATTTTGGACACTCGTTCCCCTCACAAGTTCTACCTGGTTTCTAACCAAAGTCAGATATGGAGAAGTATGATGCCCACTTCAATTTTAACTGTATGTTTACTCCAGTTTTCTTTCATTAAGACTATTTCAGGGCTGCAGGATAAAGTAAAAACACACTGCGATTGCAATACGGTTCACGGTTAGTGTGGGAATGATCTGATGCATCACAAATGTGATTTTCACTGAGATAAATATTTAAATAATGATGACGTGAAGTTTTCTGGGC